CTAATCAATTAACTTCTTTTTTTCCCTTTTGTTCTGCTCTCAGGAAGGTTACCCGTTCCGACCCAAGGGTGTTCACTACATCAACACCCCGCAGGCATTCGATGCTCTGTTCAACCTCTTTAAGCCTTTGATGCGTGAGAAAATGAAGAAGAGAGTGAGTATATCTGGTGGAAAATGAAAAAAAAAAAATGCTATCAATAATGATAATAATGTCAGTCAGTCAGTGATGTTACTTGTTACTCAGTATTTTAGTCAGTGATGTCAGTCATTCAGTCACTGAAACCAGTCAGTTAATGATGTTCGTCATCAGTCAGTGTGTGTCTCCCTTCCTCCCTCTCTCTCTCTCTTTCTCTCTATGCCCATTTGTTGTCTCCCACTTCTTTACTCGACATTTCATCACAGTCCCACATACCTCCGCCCCGGCCTCTCCCCTCTCCCTTGCCCTAACACTCCTCGCCCTTGCAGATCCACATGCACGGCAGCAACATTGACGGAATGTGCAAGTTCTTCCCGCGTGAGATGCTGCCGTCGGAATACGGGGGGTCGGCGGGAACCATCCAGGAAATTGCAGGTGTGTGGATAAGAGGGTTGTATGACCGAGAGTAATTGTTATGAGATGTTTCGTTGTTTGGATTAGCGGAGAAAAAAAGAGTAAGGGGGAGAGAAAAAAAGTTGTTGGTTAATGGTTACAAGGCAAAACAAGTGTGCTAGACATCAAAGGTCACATAGTACTATATGCAGGTGTAGTAGTGATGTGGGTAAAGATTAAAGGGTAGAATAATGAGCGACATTGCTTAGTAGGACACTGACGGGGGTGGGGGCGATATGGTCAATATAAACTTCACTGGGGAGGTCATGTCTACGTAAGGTTATTTTGGCAATATCGGTGTAGGACTTTCGGCGGCCTTTGGAGGGAATATAAGGGCAATCAGTTGGGGAGATGGAAACCGTTCCAGTACAAGTGGATGAGCACGAATAGGATTACCAGTTAGATCAGTTGAGGAGGAGGTAGTAGTAGTGTTCAGAGTCGTGGCCAAAGGAGAGCCTGGAACTGAAATCAGTGGAACTAGTTGATAAAGGAGCAAGCTTCATTACCCCTAGTAGGGATACAAAATCTTCACTACTGGTTATGGTAAGCGTGGAGTATGTTGGGGAGGGAAATGGTAATCATTTTTTCCTTTTTTTACAAGGGTGGTTCCAGGGCCTATAACTAAATAAAAAATTGATGTACAAAGACAGACAGAGAAGGCTAATAATTTTTAATTTAGGGAGCTAAAAGACGACTGTTTTACGTTTTCCCATCATCTCCATCCCCATCTCCATCCCCATCTCCATCCCCATTATCCTACCGACCTCCCATCCCCATCTCTCCCTCACTCCCTCCTCACATTCCCCCCCTGCTTCCTCAGACCTGTGGCTTCGGAAGATGGACGAGCACCGCGCCTGGTTCCTGGAGGACGAGAAGCACACGGCGGATGAGTCGAGACGCCCCGGCAAGCCCAAGACGACGGCTGATCTCTTCGGCACCGAGGGCTCCTTCAGGAAACTCGACTTTGACTGAAATCCTCGTCGGTTCCCTAAGTTAACTTATTGTAATCTCTCCATGCAGAGCGCTGTCCCGTGTGTGTGTGCGTTTTTGTGTATAATATGTATACGTGGGGTAAATGTGTATACATGTGTGTATGTGTGTATCCGTGAGCATCCATGTGTACGTACGTATGTGTGTTTACAAACGTGTGTAAGGGTAGGGGTTAAGAGGGAAGTGCAGAGTGTGTGGGTGTTAACTGAATGGGCACGGAGATGGGAGGAGGGATAGGGAGAGATGAAACAGATTGGGGAAAGAATGACAGAGAGAGATGAATATGAAAGAAGAGTGAGAGAAAATGCCAGTGGGGGTGAAAATGACTGAGGGGGTGAGAGTGAGGAGAAAGTGTTAGGATAGCAGAGGGATTAAGAGCGGTAGTGAGTGAGTGAGTGAGTGAGTGTGTGTGTGTGTGTGTGTGTGTGTGTGTGTGTGTGTGTGTGTGTGTGTGTGTGTGTGTGTGTGTGTGTGTGTGAGAGAGAGAGAGAGAGAGAGAGAGAGAGAGAGAGAGAGAGAGAGAGAGAGAGAGAGAGAGAGAGAGAGAGAGAAATACAAAAAGTATCATATCTATCAGGATTTGCGGCAACAGAACAACATAAAAAGGACTTGTTTTCGTGGAACGTTAGCACCGAAAACACCGTCCTTAAGCTCTCTATTACAATTACAACTGATATATTAATCGGTTAAGTTGCACAATTATTTTGGATATAGACCTGTGTTTAATGTAGTTTTAAACAAACTTTTGTTCAATTTACATTTCCATTCTGTTACTTTATGAATTGATATTATAACATTCAAGATTGTATATTTCAAATGAACAGGTTATGATATAACTCAACAGTAAAGTTTTGACGTATCGAATAAACTGATTATCTTATAATACAATAGCCACGTCGAATGTTATATCAATAGCTTATGTTTTAACATTTAACTTCGAACTGCTGTTTCGAGGCGCATGGCTTTTGTCAGCTGTTTTCTTCTGTATCTCCAAGTTTAGTTTAATCATTAATATTTATGTAATCTATGTATGTAACTTGTAATGCATGCGGATGTGTAAGAAGTGTGATCTTTGTAAATCTCTGTATTTTTCAATATATAACATTATGCAGTATACAGTGTTTCTTTTCCCAGCCTTTTTTACGGTTTCATGACAAACTATTTTTAACCCATTCGCGCCGGGTGTCACCTACACGTGACGGGCCCACTTTGAGTTTACTTGTTTGATTGTTTACAAGCATAGATGGCTCCACTTGCACTTGTACTGCCTGTCTCGTCTGTTTACCCTTTTCTTTAATTTACGAAATTAATTTGCGTTATCTTATTTTCCTGTTACTAATGTTTATAACATTAGATTAATTATAATGTTTATAATAAAAATAACCATCGATATTCATAGCATTAGTAAAAATACATTTTCCCGCCAAATGAAATCCGGTAAAGCAGAGCCATCTAGTGTAGAGAAATTTCATAAAAAAAAAAATAAAAAATGAACACAGCATTTCCCCCATTTTTTGTTCATTTTTACCCGGCGCGAATGGGTTAACAAAAAAAATAATTTTAGGAAACATCTTATAGTTTTTAGCTAGAAAATTTATTGCTTCTTCAACACTGACTGATGCAGTCCTAGCAGAAGGAGGAGGGAAAGGCAACATGTAATAAAATGCGGAATCCACATAAAATTAATGTATTGGTAAAAAACAGGTCCTGCCACGCCATCGGTCGCGAGGACAAAGCGGCAGGTGTCACAGGGTCAAAGTAAGGCGTTACCTGATTAACAAGCATCGAACGACAAGCACAACGTAAAACACTACAGAAGCTGCTCCTACAGGCCCAGACTAGTGATGTACTCTGGGTGGTGTTCGCGGACGTGGCGCACCAGGCGATGCGCTTTGCAGCCCTTGAAGTTCTGCAGGCACACCGGGCAGGCCATGGCGCGCCCCGTCTCGTGCTGGCGGGCGTGCCTCTCCGCCTGCTCCTCCGACTCGAAGTTCTCCTCCCCGCACGCGCCGCACATCCACCCGCCCGACGCCGTGGCCTGCACGTGGCGGGACACACGCGTGCACACCTCCGTCACCATGTGCACGATCCGGTCCGACGGATGGCGGAAGCCCCGGCCGCACCGCGTGCACGGAAACGGCTTGGCCCCCGAGTGCACACGGCGATGGGCGTTGAGGTTGGGGCCGCGGGTGAAGCCGATCCCGCACACCTCGCACACGAAGGGACGCTCGCCCGTGTGCGAGTACATGTGTAGCTTCAGCTTGTACTTACTCTCGTACTTCTTGTGGCAGATGTAGCACTCGGCGTTCTTCTCTCGGGTGTACTTGTAGTTGGACATCGTGCGCACCACGCGCCGCCGAGGGGGCGCCGGAAGCCCCTCCCCGGCGTAGGAGGGCCGGAAGGACGGGTGGCCGCCCTCGCCGACGGCAGCGCCTTGGCCCCCGTCCTGTGGCGCCGCCATATACGTGATGGGAATGACCTGCTGCTCCTGGATGGTCTGCAGGCGCTGGTGGTCCCCGGAGAAGGAACTCTCGTGATGATGAGGACTAGAGTGGTGCAGCGCGGCGTGGTGATGACTAGGGTGTTGCGACTCGTTCGGGATGACCTGCAGCGCCTCCGCGTGTGAGGCGGGATGGTGCATCACGGGGTACGCTGAGCTGATGGTGACCGTGCCCAGCTGTTCCAGGTGAACCGATTCTGGCATGAGCCGCGACGGAGGGTGCGACTCGTGCTGCTGATGATGCTGCTGGGGGAGCGGATTCTGGAGCTGCGGCGGCTGCTGCAGCGACTCTGCGTGGGAGTGCGGCTGGAGGTGAAGCTGGGCGTCGGGCTGGTGCTGCGGCTGCTGCAGATGGGGCGGATGCAGGGTCTGAAGAGCATGGGATGGGGCGCCGCCGTCGGGAGTGAGAGGACCGACTGTGTACTGTAGGACCGGTGTCGGCGGCTCCCCTCCACCTTCAGGAGAGTCCGGTCGGTGTTCCGAAGGTTCGGGAGGCGAAATAGGCTCCAGCTTCGGCAGGTACGGCGTGGATTGGGCCGCGTCTAGCTCGGTGGGCGCCTCCGAGTACGAGGCCGGCGGAGGCGAAGCGGCGAGTGGGTCGTTCTCTTGGGCGCCGGAGAGGTCCTCTGGCTGCTCCTGCTCGGGGGAGGGGGTGGGGGCCGGGGTCAGCAGGGGCGGCGCCACCACTCGCGCCTTCGTCTCGTGCTTCTCCTGCTCAAAAAGCGACGTATCGAAGTCCGGCGCCCAGTCGAAGGAGGCGCCGACGCGCTGGCGCTTGGCGGGGGGCTCGGGGGTGTCGTCCTCGGCCTGCAGCTGCGGGGGCGTGGCGGCGCGGCGAGGCGGCAGGGGCATGGCCACCATGGGGTACTGCTGCGGCTGGGCCCACATCCCGGGGTGCAGCCCCATCACCCCGGGGCTGTA